TTTCTGCCTTGCAAAGCTTAGTGTGTACTGCACACTCCGATAATGTTCATTAAATCACATTGTCAATTTTGAGACCTGATGATTATTTCAGTTTAAACCCATAAAGCATTCATATGTGATATTTATTCTAATTTTGACTGAAAACATGGATATAATACTGAACACATCATCCAGATACCAACTCATACTGAATGACTTGCAATGTACCAATGACCATGTAACAGGGAGGACACTGGAGGATGAAGTAGCAGGAAGAAAAGATGCTTTCTCCAGCCATCTATTTGTTAAACAATGGGGTTATTGTTTATGAGTCAACTTTCACAAACAAAAGACTTTCTGTTCAAGTTTAACTGGGGCGGTGGGGTAGCCTAGTGGTTAAAGCGTTGGCTCGTCACGCCCAAGACCCGGGTTCGAATCCCCACATGGGTACAATGTGTGAAGCTCATTTCTGGTGTCCCCCGCCGTGATGTTGCTGGAATATTGCTAAAAGCGGCGTAAAACAATACTCAGTCAGTCAAGTTTAACTCTTCATAAAAAAGTGATAATTGATTATCTTAGATTCTTAAGAAGAATAGTGAATTCCTAACAAAAAAACATATATCCTGCTTCCACTTAGTGTTATATTGAGGTACAGGCCATAAAATAATCTATTACATGTTCTTTGATCGGAAAGATTGGTTTTCAAGAATTAACGTCTTGTAGTTTAACTCTAACGCAGATGCAGAAATGCGTCAAGATCCATCTTCTAATGGGATTGTCATCAAGGTGGATGCTGGTATATACCTGTACCATGAACCACTGCATGTGTCAAGGCTAAGTTGATCACAGCCATGTTACAATGATGCCAATAACCTTGTCGTCCCTGTCAATGCAGAATGAATGTTAATGCTGTGGTATTGACTACTATATAATGAATCCACTTACTATATACACTGACACTATGGGGACTAGGTCCGGATGTCTCACTTGTCTGTTAGCACCCAACACTCTGATCTCTCTGATGTCACGGTATATCAATATATGTACTATAATAACTTCACTGTACAACATGGTTCTGGATAAGATGTGTTCCCTTTTAAAAATGTTAGTAGCTCGTGAATTGGGGGCAAATAGTCAGTTGTCATTACTTTTGCCGTTTAGCTTGTAAAATATACAATCACGCTGAGGTCATGTCAGGTTGAATCTAAAATGTGAAACCATCTCCATAAGAATGTGGAATGTTGGTCTGTCTATTAATGGGGAATTACTGGTTCTGCTTTTCTATTCATTCTGGCAAATTTCACTATGTCAGTTTGTGTATTGCTAATGCCAAACCCATAATGATATGTGTTTTTGAGTCATTAGATGAAGTTAAACATATGTGTCTTATCAATATAATGATAAACAGATAAGTTATAATATATGCTTCTGCATTTCTTTTTGGACATTCTATTTTTTGTGATGACAATTTGACTCATTTGACTTTCAATCACCCATATACTATATACCATATATAGTAGATGAAAAAATAAACTAATAACATTGAAATCTGATCAGCATTTTTTGTCTTCAACCCAGTTTGCCATTTATATGTTTCACATGTTACACATGTTACACAATGTTACATAATGTTACAGTTTTCTTCCCACCTTCAGTGACTACAAAAGAGAATGATAGTTGATGTCAGGTGAATCTTCACTAGATAATCCACCAACAACTACAATCACTATTATTAATAAGACTCTATACTGACTAGGACATCTTACCCTATGAATCACATACTACAGATAAATCATTTTCACCTTTTTCACATTTTCACCATAAATCTGTTATGCTCTAAATAATTGAAAATAATCAATTACATGGATTAAGCATCTAGTTCATAATCATTGTCACATGAGATTCATATCCCATTCAGTACGGCTGCATGGAATTACTGATTGATTGAAGAGATGTCATTTGTGGGATGCTTGACAACATAATCCTCTTTATGGTTGAAAGTGGAAAGATTTATTGCCCAAGGTTTCATTTTTTGTAACATGACATTTCACCTGATGCTGTCAGTAAACTGACCAGAGTACAATTATTTACTCATTCGGTCATTCATTCATACACACACCTTCCCATACCCCCATCCCCCTCCAACAAACTTCTTACTTCAATACATGGAGGGATATGTGTACAAAACTGCTTTATCTGTACAATTTGAAATGTTCATATATAATGCAATAAAAATTTTTTTATTTTTTTTAAATTGACCAGAATATATAGGCAGTCATAGGACATGGTATGTCAGCTGATGCTATGAACTGGGATATTTAACTGAATTGCATATGTAGAAAATCTTAGGTTGTACTTAGTAGTACTTATGTATGCTTGACATTTTCTAGTTTTAAGTAATACATACAGTGTAAAAGGTCAGACATATGCAACAATGGACAAAAATACTTCAATTATGATTTTTTGTCATATTCTTCATATACAGCCAATGAGCAACACGTTCACTTTAAGCAATATTCCAGCACTATCCCAGTAGGGCACAACACACAGATGGGCTTCACTCACATTACCAATGTGGTGATTCAAACCCAGGGGTAATGGGCCTTCAACCACATGACTACCCAGTCACCCCCTTGATATGTGATACAGGAGTATAACTAGTCAAGTCATAGTAAATAGCCCATGTTGACAATACCATACAGCAACATGTGGAACAAAACATAACAAAACATGTGTAAGACAAATATTATGCGAAACCCTCCTGGCCCTGTCCAAAGGGACCTAACTTCACTGCATCTGGTTTTATCTTAAACATTAGGAGCCTTCATTCCACCCTCTTCCCACCCCGTCGAACAGAAATGCAGCACATCTACACATGTTTATACCCCTAAAATATCTTTTCAGTGTTAACTCATGAAATGTATGTTGTTAGTGTTCTGGGCCCAATTCCACAAAGCGATCGTAGTGCTACGACAGTCATAAGTCTATGTTAAAGTTTGGGAGTTACGACCATCATAGCGCTATGTTCGCTTTGTGGAACGGGGCCCTGAATTCTAAACTGGACACATTTGAAAATTGGCTTTTGAATTTTATTAATCCTAGATAAAAATGAAAAGTTGAAAAAGTTCTAACCTGATGAAGAATGTTTTCCTATTTGACCAATAGCTGACTTACATGTTCACAATACAGCTGTTTCACATTGAAATCCATCATCTGACGAGCACTCATCAAAGCCCAAAATGAAATCAAACATTTGAAACATAATCTCTATGTACAGGTCCTAATTATTGAGACAATCCCATGACTTCTGCTGTGAATAACATAGTCTCACCTGTACGTGACTTCTGTGTTGCCTTGACTACAACATCCATCCTTTAAGTCCCATCTGTGATAGTGCCTCCATCTATGCTCACCTTGAATGTATATACACAGCCTTTTCCCCTCAGCTCATATACTGCTAACCACCATGTGTTCTAGCCTCGACGTAGCTCCGACCTTTCTCACATCAATATAACGTTTAATTACGTATTTGCCCTCAGACGACTGGCTCGATAATAACCCACCCACCAAACACCAGTGTATGTACTCTGCCTTTATATATGTTGCTTGATCTTTCCAATAACGGCCGAAATAATTTAATAACATTGCTGCTATCTGAATAATCATTACATTTGGCACCGATGAGCGATGCGCGGAAAAACACTAACATGACGAAATAAATGCTGATCTAGGTTGTCGATGATCAATTTAATGTTATGTCCCGCTGATGAGATTGATAAAAACACTATCTATTTATTCCGTTTCGGCTAGGATAATGCGGCTTTCAGAGATAGGATTTTCCAGCAGTTCAGTCGTTGATGACAGTTATAATACATCTCGTAAATGTCATGCTGTGTTATCAAGGTTATCAAGCTGGCTTGATCAGTGTTACAGATATGGGGTTCTAGTGGTACCAACTGTGAAGTTTGTAAACACTGTTATCTCACGATTAGCCAGGAGGGCCACATTACACTGTGGCATTTCATTCTAGGATTTGGCTCTTAGCAATTGTGTTTAGAAGTAGATTTTGTTTTAAGGTGATTGCAAGAGTTGCATCTGTGAAACAATATGCTCATTAAGCAATAGATATTGCTTATTAATGATTTTTGATACAAAATAATTATATATCTGTGTATTCATTATTTAAAATTAGATAGAGTACACCTTGATGCAGCTTGAAATATCCTGATCTTGTTGACTTATGTCCAAAAAATATATACAAATGTAGCTATCATGCGATCATCATAATTCAAAACTCACATTTTCAAGATGATGAACTTTTTAAGCATGGCTGATGCAACCAGAGAACAATGAACTTGTACAGTTCATTAGAATTACAAAGTTCATGTGATCTTTGTGGTGAGACTTTTATACTTCAATGGTAAAATATTTCAGTTACAACATTCATAATGGGAAATGGGCCTGTCATATAAAGTGCCGCAATTGGCTGTGCAGAGTTGCCTCCCTTCGGCATGTCAGAATCCTATAAGCATGGGTTAAACTCCTGGCTTGCCCTGATTATGTTTCCAGATTTGTCAGCACCTCGTTCATGTTTTTACCAAAGTAAATGTCTAAGATCTACATCACAAAAATCTTTCCTCCCCATTTGGCTAACACACTGTGATATAACTGTTCGAGGCTGTGTTGAACCTAACTCCCTCACTCACTTACCATAGCATTCATACAAACAAGTCACTGAATCAAGTAAGCCAGTTGTAGGCCAGGGTTTACCTGTGTCTATCTACTTATGTTTCTATGTTTATTGTTTAACACAAGACTCATCTATATTCCAGCTATATGACCCCGGCCTGCAAATATTCAAATCTGGACCAGACAATCCAGTGATTGATGTTGTGGGCAATGATCCACACTGACACACAATAAACCAAGTGACCATGCAAGTCTGACCACTCAATCCATTCGGCCTCTTACCTCCAGCATCACCCCCTGGAGACCAGTTCGTCTCTTGATGGCTATATAATGATGCCATATAGCAATATTCCAGCAATATCATGGTGGGGATACCAGAAATGGGCTTCACACATTGCACTCATATGGGGAATCAAACCTCAGTCTTCAGCAAGATGAGCCAATGCTTTAACCACTAGGCTATTCCACAGCACCCTGATGCCATAGAACTATAGCCAGACATGGACAGTGTAATCTGTGACATACTGCTGATTGAGAATAAAAATAATGTTACAATTTATTCTGCATACAACTGAAGTACTCTGATTAAACAAACTCATATTTTGGGTATCTTGTTTCTAGATTTTATGTGCATAGGATGATATATTTCCATCTAAAAAATGCCAATGAACACACATCTGTGAAGTATATTTGTTATCAATGTACACACAATCACACCTCATTGTTCATTGTTTACAAATTGCTTGCTTTTGTATTTGGTGCTATGACATTTTCTGTTTTGAAATAGAAATGTAATGGATATATATGTTTTTTAAAATATAACCCTTTTGGACCTTGGACTTAAAATGGTAATGAATGGAAACTTGATCTCGTTACTATATGGCTGGAATAATGCTGATGTGACCTAAAGCCCAACTCAACTCAGCTCATTGTTTACAGGATTCACCAATGTATTGATTCATTCAAAGTTACCTGTCACAACACATTTCACAATATACCCTCCCATGTATCTATTCATTTGTCACTTCAGTATTGATTTTTAATCTTGCAATAACCTGTGCTGACTCTTACTGATGCAAAATAAGCCTTACCAGCTGTTGTGAAACACATGCTGAATCTCATTGCATAATATGCTACTGGAGAAAGTTGGATGACTAATTCACTACTTTTAAAGCTGTAAATGATCAGAGTGAGCGAGTGAGTGAGTGATTTTGGTTTCACGCTGCTTTTATATTCCAATATTCCAGCAATATCACGGCAGGAGACACGAGAAATGGGCTTTCTAACACTTACTCAATGTGTGTAATATTGATATGGGCAGTGGTAGTGGTGCATTTGATGTTCCACTACACTAAATCAGAATCACCTGCTCCCTGAGCGAGTACAGTATGTAAACAACTGAACAGACAGAGACATGTGACAGCTGTGATTGGATGAAATGGTGTATGATTTTAATGTTTTTTTAAAAGCAAATCCATACAGTAATTAAAACTGACCACAATTTTAAGTATTTAGTGCTGTCATCTTTATCACCAAGACTTATACTTATTGTGTACAGATATTTTCCAGTAGGTGACATTTGGTGCGGAACTGGGGTTGATGTGTTAAGCTTCCTCTGCTCGGAAAATTGGCAGGATAAGTTAGCCGGAATTTGTGTTTTTATTGTAGTTTAAAGGCCAGACTGATGTGTACATGGAATGGATGTCTACAGCCTGGATGATTTAACAAAAATATAACGTGACTATAGAAGTCTATGGGAAAACATTTGGTGTTAGCTTTGAGCAATGTGCTGTATGTAACTCTTGTGGGTACCAGTGATTTACCATCACACAAAACCTGGTGGTGTGTATCTTCATTATGGATTTATGTGTCAATGTATGCAACAAAAAGTATATAACTATTACCACAAAGTATGAAAAAGAATTCTTAAATGAATTGGATCATTCACCTTAAATCATTTTCATGACACTCTCAGATACCTTCATCATCAGAAAATGACCAGAATATTCCATTGGGTGTACAAGGGATAATTACATGAATAGAAACCCAGTGACGACACAAGACACAAGGAATGAACAATATAGGATTGTCATGAGCATAAACCCCTGAACCAGTGATGCATGAACTCTGGCTGCAGTGCATCCTGACACGAGGAAGCTGGTGCCTGCCAGTTGAAGATAAAACACAAATAGCATATAAACAATGCACTCTAGGCTGTAGAAGGTAAGAGCATTAATAAGCCAGGGATTAATCAATATGTGTCCTGTAATTACTTGACTTGAGAGGAAAGTATACACTTGATAGTGCCTCTTCAAAGTAGGAGTCATTTTTCTAGGTTGGAGAAAAGGTAGATAATGAATAGATGGTGAATCTGGAAGTCAAGTTGAAACTAGTTTGTCCTGTTATATACAGCTTGGGCTGGATATTCATATCATAACCATATAATTTTTAAATGTGTGTTTGTTGTTTCATGCCTCTCTCAGCAATAATATAGCTAGATGTTAGCTGTAAATAATCAAGTCTGGACCAGAAATTCCAGTGATTGACATCATGAGCCTCAGTTTAGTCGATGGGGATACAATGACATGCCAAATAAGCGAGCCCGACCACCCGATCTCGTTATTTGCCTCTTATGACAAGCATGGATTTCTGAAGACCAATTCTAACCTGGATCTTCACTAGTCTTTGATACAGAAACAGATACAGATAAATGATAAAACTGTAACATTTGAGAAATGTAAACGTGCAGATTTGATGTATATTTGTTGTGGTTGAATGAATATTACTTACACCATCAGTATATTTGCATACTGTATGCAAACTCTTTTCTCATGTAGAATTCCCAAGTCTCCTAGTCACAGGACCCTTTCTTGATCAATATGCCATGAGGCCGGAGATTGGAACAGGGTCTAGACTTTAGACTAACATTGTTCTTACTCTGTGTTAAATTGTCTTTTGACATGAACAGGAAGGTGCCCAGAGAATATATAGACAGTGTGTACACTTCCGTGCCAGACTTTGGATGTTTTTTGCACAGGGTATGTATTTATGAGGTTAAGACATGAGACAAGGAAGGACATGAGACAAGGCAGGACATGAGACAAGGAAGGACATGAGACAAGGAAGGACATGAGACAAGGAAGGACATGAGACAAGGAAGGACATGAGACAGGTAAAACACCAGTGTTGCCTGAATATATGACACGTTTATATGGATAACAACTTCTTTTTATCCTTTACATGATGTTTCAGAGCTAATTCTTGCTCCTTCATCAGGTGAATGATTCTAATGTATTGATATCCATCCTACTTCTAAATGCCATTCAAGAACATCAGTGTTGCCTGCTGAAGCAAGGAAACAAGAATTGGCTTGGTATGATAAATAGTAACCCTGAAGTCATTGAGCAGTATTTCAATCATCTCATAGCTTACTTTGGATGAAATTTATAGTCAGGTTCTTGACAGACCAAGGAATCATGATCAAATCTGATTCAAACCATGGATCAGTAGGTCCTCACAGCTAAGGGAGTCAGTAGAGTGAGTGAGTGAGTGGGGTTTTATGCTGATTATAGCAATATTCCAGCAATATCATGGCAGGGGACACCAGCAATATCACGTCAGGGGACACGAGAAATGGGCTTCACACATTATGCCCGTGTGGGGAGTCAAACCCATGAGTCAGTAGAGAGTTGTGGCACCAGTGCACATTTTACCCATCAAAGCAGACAGACTGAGTATTATAACCTGCCGATAGTTACGCATGTGGATTCTTACAATGAGTCAGTTAAGCAATCTTACATCATGTTCTTTCTGAGAAGAATATCACATCATCTACTCTTCATGACACTGAATTAATAACATCTGAAAAATTGGCTGTCTTTACTGAAGTTTCTCTGTTTTTCTTCATGTCTTTCTCTTAAAATATATTCAAGCATGAGAATTGGTCTTTAGCAACCCTTACTCGTAGTAAGAGGCAACTAAGAGGATTGGGTGGTCAGGTTCGTTAACCTGATTGACACATGTCATCATATCCGAATTGCATAGATTGATGCTTATAATGTTGATCACTGGGTTGTCTGGTCCAGACACAATTATTGACTGCTGACATATAACTGGAATATTGCTGAGTTAAGCAAAAAGCAAGCACACCTAAAATACCAATAATTAATATAAAGACTTACAGACTCAGAACTCAAATTACTCATGATCTGTACCCATGAATGAAGGCTTTCAGCTCAAAGCTTAAACCATTCTTTCTCAGGAAAGATATTAAGCCAATCATTAATTCATCATGTTAGCCATCCTCAAATTACCTAAATCAGTGGATTGTGACTACGTGGGGTAGATATATAATCTGGCAAGATACTTACCATTCTGCGAGCTCCTCAGGCTCCTGAAAGGGAAGAACAATGAGATAGATCTGACAAGAGAGCTGGAGATGTTGGTGACAAGTATTATCAAGAGGCCTGGAGCCTGGACCATTCTTCATTCCCTGTAGAAGTTTGTGTTGTTGCATACATCATCTTGAAATATTACAAGTGGGCATTAACCCTTTTGTGTCAATGACTTATTTTAATAATTCATTGGTCATCATCTGGTTCCTTGCAACATACTGTTTAATGTAATATACTGTTTAATGTTCATATACTGTTTCATGTGATATAATGTTTCATGTGATATACTGTTTCATGCAATATACTGTTTCATGCAATTTACTGTTCACACAAGATAGTGTTTCATTTTCATTCAGAAGTTTTCTATGATAAATGCTATACTCTTTATTGATAAATGCTATTTGAATGAATGTAAAACCTATCCACATTGGATTTGGCTTCAGCGTTTTGATCAATAGTAACATGTCCTTGGGTTGAATAGATTAGGGTCAAAAGAGATTAGTGAGTGAGTGATCAAGGGAGAGAGGGAATTAGAGATAGATTGGAGAAATGGAATTGATGGAAATTAAGTGAGGGAAGAAGATGAGAATGTATGTGTGTAGAAAGATGGCAATGATGGATGGATTGGTGAACAGTTGAAGGAAATAGAGAATATTGAGGGAATGGAAGAATGGAAGAAGAGAGATGGAGTGAGTGAGTGAGTTTAGTTTTACGCCACACTCAGCAATATTCCAGCTATATAGCAGCGGTCTGTAAATAATCGAGTCTGGACCAGACAATCCAGTGATCAACAGCATGAGCATCGATCTGCGCAACTGGGAACAGATGACATGTGTCAACCATGTCAGCGAGCCTGACCACCCGATCCCGTTAGTCGCCTCTTACGACAAGCATTGGTTACTGAAGATCAATTCTAACCTGAACCTTCACGGGTAGAGATGGAGTGAGGGAAAAAAATGGAAAGACATGATGGACAGAAGAAGGAAACACTTGAATGTATAATGGAATAAAAGACAATTTTAGCAAACATTGTAGAAAAGATAGAAATATTACCAGATATATCAAGCAAAAACATCACAAATGCACTACACAAAAGAATGGGCTCAACCCAACAAAAGTACTAGAATCTGTACCTTACTAAGAAAGTGTAATCCCAAATATAACATATGTTACACTTGACCACTTTGTAAATGGCACTGTGTACTCATACACAAAAGAAGTACAGGATCTGCCATGCCAGATTAACTATAACATGGAATAATCAGGTGTTCTTTAATTTCTCTTGACCAGTATATATAATAGTTCAGAAAATGTCAGCTGGAGTGCAAGAAATTCAAAGATGGTCAAGTGGTCAGCGGCCAATCTATTTTATACACAGTGATCCATTACTTTATTAGTTAGTACTTCAACTAATGGAACTTGAACTCTTATCAAGCCAGGTAGAGAAAAATCTTGAACAAGATGCTTTTGATGACTTTCTGAGCTAAGTGATTTCACCTCTGGTTTAAGGACAAATATAATTTTTGATTACAGAAACTATAAGTGTTATATCTTATTAACATTCAAACCTATCTCACCAAATATCAGAGTAGTTTCATTGCTACAAAACTGGGTATGTGAAACCTACAAACAGTATGACAAATTCAGCCATTTCTACAAGCAACAAACATAATGATTTCAGTTCATGTTGTGAGAAACACAACATTTGAGGTCACCACCCAAAAAGTAGATTCATTTACCAAAAAATTGTGATTTAGGAAGACAAGAATAATGAGGATCCATCCATTAGTTGGCTGAAAGTGTTAAATGTCCCTGGTCAAAGGATCAGCGTGCCCTCACTTTTCATTCCCAGCTCCCTGGGGAGAGTACAACAAATGCTGCCACATGAGGCTCTAAAAGGTTAACAATCACAGTACCATCTGCCCTGAGTACAATCATCAATCCAACTATTTGATTCTTCACCAGATTTGTGAACTGTGCTCTGAGCCGTAAGAGCAATGTGCCACCACAACAATACTCAATTAAATACTGCTACAGTTGCACACAAACATTGCCTTATTGCCGTCGGGGAACACTGTTTAGACATTATGTTTGATGTATGCTTTGACAAACTGTGTGGGAAGTAACATATTTGCAGTTGATGATGTTTCATCTGTTTAAACCGTCGCTATAACAATTGTACAAAGACAATAGATATGATGCAGAAAGTGAGATTTTATAGAAGACATGGTTACCAACTGAAGAGTACAAGGACAATATTCTTAATACAAAGTGTTAACAATTTACAATGTCTATGTGATGAAGAGATGCAGAGAATATTTGATATCATATTTCATATTGTGATCAGATTTTGTACTTGAAAATGTATCCCTTATTCCTTAAATCTGAAATCTTGAAACATGAGATAATATTTCTGTTTCTAAATTTTAAATGAACAGGATTGCTAACAAAGAATCTTCGAACATAATTTATACAATCACATGAAATATATTTCTATTCCTGAACTGAACAGAAAATTATTACGATCATACATATGGATGCCATTAAAACAATGACAGGTGTCCAAGGTAACACACATTCAATATACTCACAATTCTTCAATGATTGACATCCAAATAATCTTCACAAAGCAGTATGAAATAATTCCTTCAGCCAGTTAATTTAACCATCAACAAGCACAAGCTGTACACTGGAATCTGAGATTCCAACAACTATCCATCACTATCCCCAACACCTGGTTGACGACCTGGATACCTGGAGTGACTGTCATTGCTTCCCCATTTGGTTGCTGCTACAGGAAGACCCACCTGTCCACGGCAGTCCCTCGATGCTGGGGACACTTGATACTTCATCCTCCTAACCATAACAATATCACGATGCGCTACCGATGTTATCAGTGATTATACTCCAGGGTGGGAGATCAATAGCTGTTACTGCAGTTCAGATAAAGAGAATACATTACTTTTACACAGCCTTTCACCCAGATCATTAAGTGATGGTGCACTTAATCCTTGCAGCGTCATTAAGTGTGGAGATTAAGAATAGGTTGGGTGCTGTTTGTTGACATCATGCTTGACAGCCAGATAGGTTCGCAGTATGTCAGTCAACCCTTTAATCAAGCGATCTATATTTGGTAAATAGATAGGGGGATTGGGGGTCCAGATGTCCAATGTTCTGCAAGCTGAGTTGCATCCCTTTGGCACACCAGGAAATGATGACTGTGGTTTTAAATCCTGGTTTACAGCAATTATGTTACTAGGTTATTCCTCACCAAGACATTGCTTGTGGGTTTCCCCAGATGGGTATATGTCTGATGCCTGCATCACTGTGACTTCCTCACACAGTTAGCAGAGTTCCCATGATATAACTTGAGAGAAAACCCATTGTCAAATGTGTTTCAAACAACTGACTTCTCTCATACATTAATTTTAAGATATTGTTATAAGAGATTAAGAGCTTTTCAGTGATTCTGAAGCTGATTGGCCAGCTGAAGCAAAAACAGAACATACTGAAGAGCAATCATAAACTACCTTCTTGATTGTTCATGTCGGCACATAATGTGACATGCTCTCAAAATGTTCACATCTGAACACTGTCACATCATCTGAGCACTGTTATATCAATTAAATAATGCCACACAATCTAGACAATGCAACACCATCTGAACACTGTTATATCAACTGAATAATGTCACACCATCTGAACACTGTTACATCAATTAAATAATGCCACACCATCTAGACAATGTCACACCATCTGAACACTGTTACATCAACTACATAATGCCACACCATCTAGACAATGCAACACCATCTGAACACTGTTATATCAACTGAATAATGCCACACCATCTGAACACTGTTACATCAACTACATAATGCCACACCATCTGAACACTGTTACATCAACTGAATAATGCCACACCATCTAGACAATGCAACACCATCTGAACACTGTAACATCAACTGAATAATGCCACACCATCTGAACACTGTTAACACTGTTGCATCTAACTCACATAATGCCACACCATCTGAACACTGTTACATCAACTGAATAATGCACACCATCACCATCAACTGACACTCTGTTACTGTTACATCAACTGAATAATGCCACACCATCTGAACACTGTTACATCAACTAATGCCAATGCCACACCATCTGAACACACTGTTACATCAACTACATAATGCCACACCATCTGAACACTGTTACATAATGCCACACCATCTGAACACTGTTACATCAACTGAATAATGCCACACCATCTGAACACTGTTACA